CAACTACTGCTGAATATCACGAGCAGCCACTGCGGGGTGGGCTGAGGGTCATAGATTGCGCAGTGGGGTCAATATTGGTTCTGTTTTATAGCGATTCACTAGTGTAACTTGACTATGTCCCTTTCACAGCCGGAAATTTCAATGGCTTCCTGCCGATATAAAAGAAGGATCAAGGACAATTTGATTAGTGAACGAGTGAAGGTCTACCAAAAAACCTCCACAAAATGCTAGTTGCTTAGTTAGCCATCACAAACTCACTATCGAGAAATGGACCAAATAAAAAAAAAAGATAACTCACATTTAAATACTAAGAATTACCAAGAAAAAACCGTGCAAAATGGTGGGACAATCATCGTTGAATCAGGTTGCAGAAATGTTGAAAGTATAGTCGGTAGCGATTTAGTCGCACGACGTTCCGTGCAATAGATTGCATGACTAGGATTGCCAAAATGTGGCCTCAGCCTGAGAGCCCTGATCAATCGAAATGCCTTTTCCGCATGAAGTCTGTGGCATGGGATGAAGTCTATATTGGTTATCTCTAACCTCTTAAGGTTATTATTTTCATTTTTCATTGCCATTAGGCAATGGTAAAGAAGAACAACTTTGTTCGTAAGGGAAATGCTTCCACAGGCTTCATCAGGAACCAGCTTCAAACGGAATCCCATGACGTGAGTTGATTGTGACTGTCATGTCTCTTCGCTGCTTCACAAGTTCATGTAATTCAGTTTGCCCTTTAGTAAGTCGTTGCATTTCCCTCCTAAGTGTCTGACAGGCCATGAATGGCAAGTGGCCAAAATCCAAAGGTACTCGCTGCCTGTCTCTCCAGCTAACAACCACCATCCACTTTGCCTTGGATGATGCAAGTTCAGTGCATCTTGTCCGAAACTGTAATCTCGGACAAGAATTCTTTACACTGATTTTCAGAAAGGGCCGTAGTACACTCAGCACCTTCGTCCACTCTCCCGCTCTACCTGCATCTGTTAATCCATTGATAAGCATTCATCGATCTTATTTTTGCTTGCGATTGATTGACATTTAGGTCAAAAAGGGTAGACTCAAGTCCTCTGAGAAGATAAATTCCCATGCCAAAAATGAGAGTTTAAAATGAAAAAAAACAGCGCAGACAGACAAACACCACACGCGCGCGCGTGCTCACACACAGACACATACACGCAGACACAGACGCACACACAGACATAGACACAGACACACACACACAGACACACAGACACACACACACAGACACACAGACACAGACCCCCCCCCACACACACACACGCAATTCAAATTCTACGTCCATAACTTTATTTTCAGGTTCGAATGCATAATTAATGACCGCTAAATAGGGCAGCCGTGATGTGGCTGCTTCATAGTAGTAAAAAGGAAGAGGTAGCACAGTTTGTTGAGGGTGTGTGTGTATGTCTGTGTCTGTCTTTGGTGAGGGGGGGATTTCCGGAATCTCATCCGCGGACTGGAACGAAGACGAAAACGGAACGACAGAATGTCCCTCTTCGTAAGGGAATGCCCACTTTCGTTGGCTGTCTCCTTCCTGCTCCGACTCCACAAGCTCTCTCTTATGACTGCATAGCTCTGCCAAGCACAGAGCATATCAAAATAGGCTTTCCAAACTTAGCTACATTCTAACAAAGGAGTTAGTCTCCACAACAAGGTCAGGGTCTTTCCTTTTGAGCGAGATCTGAGGTATCTCGAATCATAGCAAGACCACAGAATCGCAGGTCAATCCATAGTCTATGGCAGGGGTGGCCAAACCGCAGCTCCCGGACAGGTCAAGTGCGGCTCGCAATGAACTGTTGGGTGAAGAGCATGGCGGTTCCTGTGTTCTAAAGGACATATCTTCCGCCAATAATAAAGAATTCGTCACGAAATCCTGCTGAAATATTGACTACATCACCAGGTCACAATGAATCTTCTCCGAATTGGAGTCAATCACCAAATTATTATTTTTGATTTCACTAAATACGATTGTACCATCACAGCTGCTTTTATCACCAAATTTGTATGAGCCAGTACCAAAACATGCTTCTATAAATAACATGAAATTTTTAGCAATTGCGACCGTATTGAGGAATGGATTCTTCTTTAATTCTGGTTAGACCTGACATGGTAGGATAAAATTGTAAAATTGTAAAATATAAAAACCTCCGGGAGCTTCGGGGGAGGACCTCTGCAATTGGATTCCCTACATTTATAACATGTATGGAAGTACAATACGGCGCTGAATTACAATTTCTGCGTTCATATGTATTAGAGGTGACATGGCTACTAACAACTTTAAGGTTTGAGGTTCGGAAAAGTGCGCAAGAGTATCTAACCAGCAAACTTGGGCATTGGAGCTACTTCAAGAGAGCAAGACTGGTTGTCAAGGCTCTGTATTTGGAATCCACTTGTCCAGTTGGATAGAAGCATGCAAATCCATGCTTTCATCCAACTGTGATGGATATCTCTGGGAATGCGAATCCACATCCTGGAGGTTCCTTTGGAAGCTGAATCTTTTCCAATTGGATAGAAATGAGAAGACGACCAAAGCCTGCATCTGCCCTGCAGGACCTTCAAATGAGAAATTCCTTATTTTCCCTTGGGAATGGACGGGATTATTTGGTGCATATTCGATGCAGTTTGATGATCCTTTCACGGCATTTGGTGAAAACATTGAGGGAGAATTGGAGCTAGATTATCAAGTCTGATGATGAAATCATTTTATGAAAATAATAAGAATTTGGTGATGTAAATGAACTGTGACAAAATGAAACATTTTGGTGAAGAATCGCCAGAATGACGTTCTTCGTGACGGAGTCTGTATTATTTGATGATGAATTAAATATTTACCGTTCCAAAACTGGGGACCGTAGGCGACTTAAAAGCGTGCTCACCCTGTTATATGTGATATAACTGTAGCATAGAAAACAAGGGATTGAGGATTATTTGAGGATTTGAGCTTTCACTACATTCACTTGGAACCTAACTTTTTCCGATTCATTGAGCGATCTGTCCTCGCATGCATTTTTGTGAATTCAGGATGTCTGCAAAGATGATAGGGCTAGCATGCAGACACTGTTGACATTAAAACTTGCTGAGCAAGTGTATACATTTTACACTTATATTTATAATGATGCATTGAGGAAATTCACTTATTAATGAAGGAAGGCAAACGAGGTCGACCGGTAGGCTCTGCCTAAATGGATGATTAGGAGAGGTGTGATCACTCAAATTTACACAGGATGCGAATCTTTACGTAAACTTGGTGCGTTGGTATTACACAATGCATGTTTAAAGTGGTGTCTGTCTTGTGGCTCTCGGCCAATTGAATATTTTGTTATGCGGCTCGTAAGGTCAGGAAGTTTGGCCACCCCTGGTCTATGGGGAACCAGGGAGGGGTACTGCATGCATGCTATTCTAAGCCCCCTATAGCCCTCCTTTCCTGTCGCGTCTTATCTTCCGTTCGGTATTTTCTCCCCCTTCCCTTTCCTCTGCTCTTGGAAAATATTGGAGACATGGCAATTACCCATTAGGTCTATGTCCATTTCGCCTGGTTTAAGTCTGTGTCCGAAGGAACAATCTTTGACAAGCGAATTTGTCTGCATACTGGATTATTATCTTTTGCGCAGGCCCTTGCCTAACGCGTTTTGTGGTAAGGTAACTGCGTGGTTTTCTGGTCAAGTCAGCTCTCACCTAAATCAAACGAAAACAATGTAATTGTGTCTATGAGTATTATTGACCATGTACTCCATGGCGCCGTGACTACATTGGGACACTAGGAAAGTACTGCTTCTTAGTCTTAGACCTTCACCGGTTTCAGGATCAGACAGGATGCAGTATGTCGTCGATTGAGGCATGGGTTAATCGCGGCAGTAGCTCTGAAGAGGATTCTACCTGCATGCAGCGTTCTTTGGGAAAGCCGACAATCGAATCGAGTAGGAGAGCCAAAAGAGCGAGGTCAACATAAGACTTCACTCAGGAAGTAAAGGTGATGAAATGGAGATTTGGCTTTGTTCTTTCCAAATGAGGGCAGGAAATGAGGAATATAAAAGAAAATTAATTTAAAACGTTTACTTACAATTTTAAAAAAGTAATTCATTTGTGCCTGCGCTATCCGTATAGAGAATGCATGATAAAATTCGTAAAACTTTCTCTCTGGTGACTTAATTTCAGATAGGTACCTGCTCTACCCAAGATACCACGGAATGGGTATACCACATATACGGTGACCACCCGACATTTTTTTGCCGTCTTTCGTTTGGTTTAACAGTATTTATTTATTGCATCGACAACTGTCGAGTTATTGGCAAGGTTATCACAGTCTGGTATCCTTAAGCCAGTGTCCATTCTTATGCCAAAGAGGCATGACCATCTACTTCTAGCACTGCCCCAACAGCCCTAACTTGTGCCTCTCAATGTCCACCTCTGGCGCTGGTATACCCATACCAGCTGGATTCGGGATTTCCTTTCTTTTGACCTTATCTCTTATCTTTTTGGGTTTAAAAATGTCATTGGATTAAGTTTTATGTTCCCTTCGCGCTTATGTCCACGTGGTGGGGAGCGGGCAGCACTAATTTTAAATTTTGGGGCTAAAAACCTGGAAAAATTTAATTTACGTTTTTATAAAGAATTTACCCTTAATTTTTTATAAATAAAAATCATCGATTTTCTCAGAAATTCATTGAAGACTTTTGCGTTCAGTATCAAAAGAACTTTCGTCCGACATGTCACTCTTCCAAATCGGTGGTGGCCCAATCGTCTTAAGAAGAAATATCGAGAATTTATCGAAAATAGTACACTTCTTACTGACAAGATTTTCAGAGTGTCCCTACTGGTAGTATGTGGAGCAACCAACCGCAAGTCACTTGTGCAGAAGGTGAAGGGGCCACTCGCAGAATGTAACGCCATAATTAGATCCTCGACTACAAGGTCGGACAGTGTCTTTTTCGTGAGTGTTCAAGATTTGTTTTCCTCCCTTTGCTTCCAATAAACAATAGATGGGAATGGGTAGGTGAGAGTCACCCTTTTCGTTCTGCGCGCTTACTTCCCTTCCCTTCCGTCTTTTCTTCATAATCTTTCCTGCTCCACTTTTCGCGCTAGCTGCAGCAAAGATTTCACACCATTGTCACCATCCTTTGTCCACCGTCAAATGGAAAGTAACACGATCAACTCATTATTCATCATCGCGGGTTGTGTAACAGCATCTTCCTATGGCAGCATAACATATTAGATGTAAAACAGGATTACCAATGACTAAATGCAGAAGGTAATCAAAGCTGCCATTCAAAGACCTCTCCATTTTCCCTCTTTACTTAACAGACCAGTAGAGGTCTAAAATTGATGTTTTTCTAGAAGAAATTGAAAAGGTATTGATGGTAGTGAAAATTTTCCACAGTTCACATGGAGAGTGACACGGCCATATTGTCAGCTGCCAAACAATGGGTTTCTGCAAACCCGGAGAAGACAGCGCTCCCTTCTCCTACTTCACCTCCAACATCGTCGTGAGGAATGAGACTTGGACTCCCCCATCAACGTTTCTGTCTGTGTGAGTCTGTGTTCGTGTTTCTCACTAGAGCTTCACCAGAGCTTGGATATCCATACTTGCAGTGTATGGATATCCAAGGGGGTATCCATACATGCAGTGACGGATGAACCTCCTCTACTGACCCATGAGTTAACATTTCCTGAAAATGTTAACTCACGGGTCTGCTGGGATGAACCAACAAGATCCAGCCAGATTCTGCCGGATCTCAGTTTTTCCAGGCGGAAAATGTCTGCTCTCCAATTCCCAATTGGAACCAGTGACGTTTTCTGCATGGCAGTCCAGCTGCCAGAAAAGTCCATTACAAGCCGAGTAAAACCAGTAATATTTCCGGCTGGAACTTTTTTCGAGTAGGGTCCTTTTGAGGGAAGAAATTAATTTATTTAATATTGCCTACTTCAAGTTGCCAGTGATGTCACATAACCGAAAGTAAAATTACGTCACCATGAAAGTGCCAAAAGTCCTCCACCAAATAGGTGGGAGCGCTGAAGGAGAACACTTCAAATTATTCAATTTACTTGAATTATTGAGCGCGGAAGGCGCGACCATTGCGAGTTTGTTTGGACGAAAGAGACACAAACTCGCTAGTAAGATATTTACAGAATTTTAAAAGGGATTCAGACCTCAAGTCCCCTTTATTAAATGATAGCTGCATATTGCCGGATAAAGGGGTTCTATTATTTTGAAACACCTGAAATACAATATATCTTTCCAAACATTTTATTTCCAATTATACATAAATTATAATATTGATTATGAATGCATTTGCACAACTTTATTTCTTGGACCTTAATTGCCTAATAATTAAAGGGCTGAAAGGTAAAGTGGTCTATCTGCAAAATATTTCCGAAAATGGTATAGTTGGTTTAGGACTCAAAAAACCTTGTTCCTATCATAGGAAGAGATAAGTTTTTTGGAATTATATAAATGATGAACTTGTCTATCAAAACATACCACTTTCCCTCACTATTAACAAGACGGCCACTGGAATATTCACTCTTTCCGTGTGGAACTCGAGGAAATAATTTTTTGCAGATAGACCACTTGGCCTTTCAGCCCTCCAATTGATTTCTGGAATTAATACATTTTCCCACTGGGGCTGCAATGCAGGAAAAAAATCCATTTATTGAAAAATCTTCACATTTTGCGAAATTTTCACTATTTCCTTGGAAGGAATTGAATTTGCGTTCACGTTTTTTTGCTTTCTTTTCCTGCTTCTCTTTTGCAAACGAAAGAACACGATTATGAATTTGAATCGTTGAAAGTTGAATGAGATGGAAGAAACCTAGGACAGAGTGGTTATCATTCAAAAATCAGTACATTTTTTATACGAGGAGGTTGAGGTTTAGCAGCGTTTTTCCAATCTCAAATGCTGAATTCGTGATTGCAGGTTTGTGTTGGCAAGTTGCATGATGACACAGAGATTGCTGTCCGTCGGTCTCCTGCGGCTTGTGCTCTTATTGGCCTTCATTGGCGAGGAATTCTGGTCACGGATATATGCCCCAGAAGAGACACCATATTAGCGCATGATCATTGAGCTTCGGAATTGTGTCTTGGAGTGAACTGAAATAAAAGCTTCCACTCCAAAATCTTTTAACTCTTTCTTTGATAGTTTACTTGCCAAGTAGGTCAATAGGTATGCGGACAGAATCTCGAATGGACGGAATTTCGAATTCCATATTCTCGATCGAATATACGAAAAGCGTCCACAGAAAAAAATCCATACCTGCTATTTCGCGCAAATGCCCACTTGATATATAAATATACCCTAGTAGTACATAACATTGAATCAACCTTGATTTAATGTTATGTGCTACTAGAGTATAAATGATTAGCAACGTAATAAAACATGAACATGAAGGAAATTCGCAAAATTCTTGAATGTTTCAACACCGGATCAATGAAAGTGGGATTGTTTCCAGGAATGCATATTAAAACGTGGGAAACAGGTCAGGTGAGATCAGATCAGGCATGTGGGATCATGTTGCTACTTAGCCCATGCTTTGAAGATACTCCGATGGCAATGGGATAATTGAAGTGTGACATTTAAAGTCTGACATGAGAATGCCTGGTCACCTGCAATTATCTCGGAGATGGGGGCGCGTTGATCCGTAGGAAGGTTGAGTGGTGGAACTCCCTACTGAGGATCACGTGAGAAAATCTTTAGTGTTTTAGACAAGTCCCAGTCAAGTATTGATTGACAACCCCCTTCTACCCCCTGTGGAGTATGGGGAGGAAAGTAAGATGCCGTTGTTCGGAGCATTTGCAAAAAGATAATATATCATTATGGTATATTGTGGCTATTCATTTCACTTCGAGTGATGCCTGCTGGTTCCTCTTTCTAATCCCCGTTAATCCTAAAGCCGCGGTCGACTTTTGTGGCTGAAGGTATCTCCGCATCTATGTCCCTATAAGAGCTTGCAGACGCCTCACCTCAGTCAGTCAGGATTTCGATCCGGAGTTCAAGATCATGGCCGAATTCGTCAAAAGTCACAAAGGAAACGAAGAGCTCGTTCTAAACGAGTATATTTACGAACGCGATTCGCTTGGAAGCTGTGGGACCATATACTGGAGATGCGTCGAAGTCAAGTCGGGATGCAAGAGAAGAGCGATTCAAAACAGCGAGGGAATCAGAGAAGGCCGCAAGAAGCACAATCATCCAGTTCGTCCTACACAAGTTGGGAGTCAAACGCGTGCTTTACGGAATCAAAGAGCGTGCGGCAACTCAAGTGGAACCTCCACAGGCCATCGTCGCAACTTGTGTTAGGGAGACATCAATAGCAGTTCAAGGCCAGTTTCCTTCTGTCTCTGCGATGAAGAAGCAAGCCCAACGCAAGCGGAGAGCAGTGTCTGGTCAACCTGCAGCGCCAACGTCTATCACCGACTTCCAACTGGTGGAGCCATATACCTTGACCTGCAATGGTAAGCAATTTCTCCTTGAAGACACCGGCGCCAACAGCGATCGGATTTTGATCTTCGCTACTCAAAAGAATTTGAACATTCTCGCCGAATCCGACCACTGGATGGCTGATGGGACATTCAAAACTGTCCCCCCTCACTTCACTCAACTCTGGACCATTCACGCGATCGAGTTCAAGACGGCTCTCCCCTTGATCTTCGCTTTGCTTCCAAACAAGTCGAAAGAGACATACGTGAAGACCCTTCGTATCATCCATTAGAAAAAGCCAAGTATGGATCCGAAGTCGATACTGACTGACTTCGAGCAAGCCGAAATCAACGCCTTTAAGGATGTGTTTCCGAACGCCGAAATGCGAAGATGCTTTTTCATTTCAATCAAAGCATCTGGCGCAAAATTCAAGGATCAGGGGAACTGCAAGTACGATATCAAAATACAGAAGACCCAAATTTCACCTTCAATGTTCGAAAAATCTCCGCCTTGGCATTCGTTCCGGCTGAAGACGTTGAAAAGGCATTCGAAGATCTGATGGAAACTGCATTTTTCAAGGATGAAAACAACAGTGCCATCCTCACTTCACTAACGGATTATTTCGAAGGCAACTGGATCGGTCGACGCGGTCGCACTCGCAGAGCTCCAAGTTTCGACATCAAGCTCTGGAATCAATACGAAGGAACACTTCAAGACCTTCCGAAGACAAACAACAAAATCGAAGGATGGCACAGAGGTTTTGAGAGCCTTATCGCCTCATCTCATCCAGTTGTCGGGAAATGCATCGATGCAATCAAGAAGGAACAGAGCCTGACGGAGCTTAAGGTGAACCAATTCAATGTAGGGATGATAAGCCAAGGACGGAAGAAGTACACAACCGTGGCAGATCGAATCAAGAAAATCGTGTCCGAGTAACATCAACGAGACTTGGATTCATACCTTGGAGGAATCGCACTTAATATAGAATATTAGGTAATGTCATATATGTACAGTTTTTCATTGTATGCCACTTTGAACTTAAATTGCCCAATTGATTACATGACTGATAATAAAGAACATCCAAAAAAGTTTTCTGTTCGAGTTTAAATGCTTGAATTGGAGAATATGGGGATCGAGATTCCGTCCATTCGAGATTCTGTCAATAACCTCAAGAAGCACGGATTCAACCACGATGCCCACTGCGCAGAGATTGGATTGCAGAAGAAGCGAGAATTTTCGCTGCAGATCACGAAATCTGTGAAACGCAATACTCCTGGATGATATACCGGATGGCCCAAAAAAACGTTCCGAACTTCGTGCGGCTGCAGACAGGGCACCTTGCTAAGCATCGTCTTGAAATTTCCAGTGTCATACCCAATTTAGGTTGGTGGCTTTAGGAAAATTTAAATGAAGTTCCTTGCTCTGAACATGAGTAAGAGCTCTTTTCGTACAAGTCGTCAATGAGCAAGTGTGTCAGTGCGTTTGTTGGCGGGCTGCTTCGGCCCGCGATCCAAGGAGGACACATCCATGGAGGACCCATCAAGCAATTCTTTAGTTGAGTTCAGGGGCGTTTCTTTGCACACTCGCTCTTTTGACATCAAGCGGGAGAAAAATATTCACTCACGTAGTTTACAACCAATTTCAATTAAATATTTGTTACATTACCTGCAACATTGCATGTAAAAGCCAGTAAATTTCCTGTCGATAACTCATATGGTACACGTCTTTCCCGTTCCGAACTTTACACGCCTGCAGACGTGTAAAGTTCGGAACTTTTTTTTTTTTGGGGGGGGGGGGGGGGGGGCCCCCCCCCCCCCAAAANNNGTGAGGGGGGGGGGGGGGGGGGGGGGCCACCGGCCACCAAAAAGCATAGAAGCGTGTCTCTCGCGTTAAATCTATTAACAGCATACTCCTCCAACATCGGCTGACAAATATGGGAAATAAAAGGAAGAATATGTGAAGTCGAAGATCCCAATGGCTTAACTCTGACCTATCACATTCATTGACTAGAAGTCAAAATTTATATATAGGGTGATAAACACTCTACCGTTTTCTACGGAAGAAACAGTTTCATAAAAGCAAATAAAAATTTACATTGACAACGCGAGTGACGTTGGACCGTTAAAACGTGTTGAGATGCATGTCAGCTTTTTTCAGACACGGGTGTCTAAGTCATGCAATGCTCATTTTGAAGTGAATTAAAGGTGCTTAGAAGTGGATCATTCCACCTCAAGTGAGGTTATGATCTGCGCTGGACCGTCTCAGAATTCGATTAAACTTGGCAAACTTTCAGATTATTTTGAGAATAGCCCTCAGACAAAAAACATGTCTGTACTTCGAGCAGAGGCCAAAAAAAGCGAGTTTTAATTTGATGGGGTGAGGAGTTGGGGGTTGGCGGCACAAAATGGCCCCCAGCCCCCAGATACTAAATTCCTGACTACACGTTATTATGCCACCACCCTATTTTGATTGGCTAAAACATTTCAAGAGACAGTTGGATGCAGCTGACACTTCACAGAGAAGTTCATGAGTCTACGAGATTTTTGTACATCTACAATATGGAGTTGGTCGATAGATGACGCTGTTGTTAACAAGAGGGCCCCCAATCTTCGTGCTACGCCACTTTTTAGGTAGGGAAAAAAAATATTTTTTTTTTTAGTCTTTAAACCTTACATAAGCCTCTCTGCCAAATATTCGTAGTGATTGAGTCTTTCAAAATATTTTATCCTGAATCCAAATTTTTTAAAATGTGAATCGTGTCCAAATCGGCTTGAGGCCAAAATTGGGCAAGCTACTCTAATTGACTTTTGAGATAATAGAGCTTAGACCATTACTGCATTTGAGGTGTGATGATCCACCTCTAAACTTTGCAACGGGACATTGCACAGCTCAATGAATTGTTCTGAGAAAATCCAAGACAATCTTCTCAACATCTTGTATATGTCCAATATCAAGAGTTCATAAATATTATCATATTTGCTCGAATATACGAACTTTACTTTCTCCCATAGAAAACGGTGGAGCGTTTATTTTGAATCACCCTGTATATACTAGTATATATAAGCTTGCGTATAAAACGGTGGTTTACCGATACCGATGACAGACGAAGTAGGAGGGCAATCAAAGAAAGTTTTGTTATTTGGAAGACATTTCCTATGTAAGGGCAAAAGCGGTTACTAGCCTGGTTGTAGTAGTAATAGTTACATAGCTATGGTTTGAAATGTTCACACATTTCACAGAATAGAAAATACCTTACTTTGAGGTTTATCATACATATGAATATTACGAAGCCATAGTGAGACATCGGTTTCAGTACCTCCCTATCTGCTTGACGATGTGTCTTTAGTATGTGACGTTTGATTTCTCTCAAAACAGCACAGTCGTTGCTTTCCACATAGCTTCCCGGGTATTATCAGGCTTCCAGATGACAGAGGACATTATTATGAGCTCTTGGCTGAAGATAAATAACGCCTTTTAGACCTCAAGGTTGTTAGACCATGATTTCATTCAAGTATCGGGTGCCATCGGTTAAGTATTTCCCAGGAGGGCAAAATTGCACACTCCAAGGCCAGTACTGTTTTTTTTTTATATATAAATTATTATTATCAAAGCGACTGATCCAGGTGGAACATTTTTAAACTGGTGGCATTAAATATTCCAGAATTTAAATGGGCGGGTAACCCAGTTATACAGGACTGTAAGAGTCCCGTTCGTTGAAGAGGTCTGCCATCATAAATGCTTGGGGAAGACTCTCAATGAGACGAGGTCTAAGAAAGAGGACTTCAAGACTTAACATTCCGCATTAGTTAGAGACAGTTTGTGTGCAAATACTTTATAACAGAGAAGCATACCACTCACCTCTAATATGCAGACCATCTTTCCTCACCGTTAGATCTTGCACTCTATAAACTAGCTTACAATGAGATCTACCATGGTAAGTGCAAATTTCTTATCAAGACTTTATTATGGAGAATCAACATGTCAGAGGAGAAGAGGCACATTGCCACACAGAGATCACAGTTCATCCCGAGAATGTTTTGAGCAATGGCACATCTCTCTTGTGTCCATATGCACCTCCTCCATGCCTGCTTTCACTTTAACATCTGATGTCAGCCTTTTCTTCCAATTCTGAAAAACAAAGCATCCAGAACCTACATGTGATTTATTTTCATAGAGGAAAACTTAATCTAGATAGAGAAGAGATAAAATGAAAGGCTTTTTTCATTGAAAGGCTTATGATAGGTTGGATAAATCATATTTCAAGCTTATGAAAGTTAAAAAGTGGATAAACATCACCAATTAACACTTTCGCTGCCATACGACCAGCCGGCGGGTCGTACAGGTCCTTTCTACCAGATCATACGACCTGCCAACGGGTGGTTTGCATTGCTTTGCGGGATACGATCTATGGACCTCTTCCTTTCATCTTACGAATTTTATCGTCGCCCTCTGATGAGGTCAATTTTAAATCAAATTGGCGGTGTTTCATTTCTCATTTCTTTTTTACAATGTTTTCAATATAAGCATATCTCCGTATAAGGGTAACGTGGAAATTACTTCTTCCTCATTTCTGCGTATAGGGCATATTACGGGAGTCTTTATATATAGTATGTACGTGGATATATCAAAAAGGTCCAGAACCGGTTTTCATATGAGCAAACTATGTGCAGACGCTCTGTTTCAGAATGATCCCTTTTGGAATGCATGGATGACAAGAAAATAATGCAACTTGAAAGCTTCCTATAGAATCCATACCTTGTAATTGATTAGTCTGAAAATTTAATGGAACGTTGGCTACAATGTTTTCCTAGAGCTCTTGAAATTATATGAATTTATGGATACCCATTCATGAGTTATGGCATATTTTGCTGAGATGGCAAAGAAAGGGCATGCGACTGCCATTGCGAGGCACGAATCCAAATTGCATGAGGATCCCTGAAAATGCATGCAGATGCATGAACTTTTTATGGATGAGTACACAGTTTTGACAAAGNGAGGTCCAAGGAATACAAAGAATGTGGGAGCAATGGCACTACAAGATTGGTTGGAAATTCAACGGTACGACATAGGTACCGTTTGATTGCCGACAGTCATTACGGCTTGTCGATTGCCGCCCCATGCGTTCATCATCTCCAGTGGATTTCACCTTTCACGGAATCGCTTGTGTCAAGCACACCAGAATTAGGATTACTTTGGCCTCGGGGGAACGGCCTCCAAATAATGGCTTGGCAGCGAAAGTGTTAAACATGTTACAAGCAAGAGATCAAACCTGAGATGGCTTATGAGGGCTTTTCCATGGAAAATCTGAGCTAAGAGTGACCAAAGTAAATAAAGCACAAAACAGTAGTTTCATAAGCTTCCCTAATCAAGGGGTTGAACAAGATGCTAAGGAAATTGTATTATAAGGTATCTCTTCCTTTCTAATGGCCTAATATAACTATGAAGCCCTACTTCTGAATGGGGCAAGTAGTATTAATATAATTTGTTACAATTTCAACTAAAATTAAGAATCTTTAATAGGAGTCTCTTTGAGACAGGAGATCATAAGGGGCAATAATGCCTCTTGACAACTATACTCAAATTCAGAATGCAGCCAATGGGATGCAGAATCATGATATTGGTAACAGTTCCCCCTCATTAAGACTTTGACTGCTGAGGACTTGAATGCCAGGCTAACCTCACTTTACTGTGAACAGCAATAGAGGTTCACCATGCCGAACACTTTAGATGGTGTAAACAGCAGCCAAAGTGTTAATTTGCTGCTGCTTTTTTACCTGGGGATTAAGCTCTTATTGATAATATTTTTAAAAACTTGAATATTTTAGATAAATGAATTGAAATCAGACATTCCATAGGTAGAGTTGTATGGACTCAATGGAATTGGGTTTGAGTTTCCATTCACTTTGAATATGGAAGAAAAGGTCATGTCTGAGTTCAGGTTCAGTTCAGATTTGCATACGACCCTGAGGTACAATCATTTTATCACATCATCTTCAGAGATGTCAAAGAACATGGCTTGGACAATCAACTCATGGTCAAGTAATCATGTCATGGAATAGAACTTTGCAAAACTCATATAGCTGAATATAAAGCACTAATAGAGTAACTTCAGCAAATAGCAGGTTGTACATGGTTCTACACAGAGATATGGAAAGATGAATTTAAGAATTGCAGAGCCTCATAAAGGTTGTCAATAGTTCATAGAAAATTTGCATACTTATCCTTTTACAACTTATTACCAGAAATAAATGAACAGTATTATGTGAGTAATTTGAGATTTTCCCCAATACATGGAAGCTACAACAGAGCCTAATGGATGAAAATGATGAGAACAACTCTGAAAGATCACAGACCTTAAGCATCACTGCATGATAGCAGAGGATGTGATGTGGGAGGAGGTGTTCTCGGGCAAATGCTCTAGCACGAGATATTATACGCTGCACTTCATCTTCATGATCTTTAGCCCAGAGGATTTTTTCCAACAAGTCACTCAGATCACTCTTGAATGGGACATAATGGATCCATGGTTGAAGTTCTTGATAGAAGAACTCATAGTAATCGGAATCCTGTTTCAGAAGAAGACTGTTTCCAGCCAGCAAGTATGGAAGTCGGTATGCAGCCACTGTACCATCCAGACTAACTTGATACTTGTACTAGAAATTCACAAGAAGCACAATTTCATTACATGTCCAGCCAATTCCCATTAAAAAATCTAAGTTGATCACAAACTCAATACACAACGGAAGTGAAATGATGTCAGTATTTTCACTTGATGAGTCACAGTTCTTGAAGAGGCAGGTAGTAAATAAATGGGTGAAGGAGAAAACCTTCCATGTTGGCAGCTTATATTGAATTGAAATCAGGTAAAAGCAGAGTAGAAATTGACACATTCATCAAACATTTAAGGAAGAGTAGAGGTGCATCAGGTCGAAAGAGGAAAGTATCAGTTAAGTAACATCACCAAAACAGATATAGCAATATTTTTTTAAATGTCATATCTTTAGATTAAAGTGAGGGACCTCAACAGTGAGAAGCCAGTATCAATTTAACAAAAGTGACCCTATTGACACTGATAGAGTCAATCAAATTTGTCTCCTGGAATTTGGAAAGGATAACTTAAGAGATCCATACATGTTTCCAGAGTGGTCTTGGACATGGAGTTCCATGTGATAAAGCAAAGAATATGTAAACGAATTTGATGAGGATTGGGAACTTGGAAGAAGAAAGTTGGAGCTGGTGACCAAAAATATTGGCAGACACCAATCATGATGTACAGAATGCATTTAAGAAAATCTTATCTGACATTTGTCAGTAGAATTTTTCTGGGAATTAGCCTTGCAAGCACAATTGAGGATGCAGTGAACAGTGGTTTATGACACAGCTAGTTCCAGAGACATGTTGGACAGATTTTCTTGGAATGCACTCAAAAGCATTTCGTATGGCACGAATGGTATCTGCCAATGTTCTTGGAGGTCTAACTAACAAAGCAATCAAAGAATCTAAGAGGACCAGGAGCTCATTCGATGAGAGTTGGAGTGGATAACCATGTCCAAGGGAACACTGGAAACATAGATGGATCTCTTAAAAAGTTATCCCTTCCAATCTCCAGGTGACAGCTGCAATTTTTCCTATCAGCAACAATATGATCACTTTTGTAAAACTGATACTGGCTACTCACTGTGGAGGTCCCTCACTTCAATCTAAATGTATGCCATTGAAGGAAATATCACTATATCACAAAAATTGATTGAGACTTTTGGGACACCCTGCATCATATCAAGCTGATATATCTCTTTCACTCAATAGAGGCTGATACTGATAAATGATTAAATATAATTGCATCTCTAGTAACACCAAAATTAGGTGCTACTTACTGCCTGGTATAAAACTTTCTTTCAAAACAATGACCATTTCTGAATTTTACTGGGCTTCTGTCAAATACAAGTCCAGGAATCTAATATTAGCAAAAGGGAAAAAAAGGGGGTAGAGGGAGGACAATATTGGAGGATACCTAGAAGAAGTTTCACATTATTACCTGAAATATGATCAAAAGTCAATGCATGTAAGATCTTTATATCTGTGAGTTGCAGAAAAAATGCTAAGTTTGAAGCAGTATGATTTCTACATACATTGACTAAATCTTTGTATAAGCAGATAAGACTAGGAAAACTCCATAAGGAGAACATATTCTTTTTGAAGAATAGCAGCTCTCAAGACTCAAGATATGACTCACATTAAAAAAGTCAAAGAAGGAAACATGAGATGCAAATGGGGAGAATTCTTCTTCTAACTCTCTGAAGAAGAACATCCTTGTCAGGTTTGCCTCAAGGAGATCCCAGTGTTGCTGAGAAAGCCGTACAAGATCTAGACGTTCTTTCCGTGAATCTCGCCCTCTCCAGAAAGCCTTGGGAATTTTTTCATGCCAAGGGACATGATTTTTGGCTTGTACAGACAGCATGTCAAGAGTAACCCTGCAATGGAAACCAGTTTATGGTAGGTCTATAAATCCAAGAGGCACCCTGTTTGGTCCAATCATGTTCAAAGAAAATATCCCACCCTAATGAAATGTCTCCAGAGTGCGAGTTAACTGGCGATTGTGGGAGGCCTACCGTTCAAGCATATGCAAAGAAGCTTCTGTGAGATCATATGTGGGAAGGACAATGTCAGATGAATCTTTTGATCCACACCATGAGAATATTGGCACCAGGGAAGACCAAGAATGACCCACAAGTGGCCAGTCTCCCAGATTCATGACAAATTCCATATCTGGAAGATGAACTTTGCGTTTCAGGGACATCAGGATATCATCGCTGAAAATGTGGAAGCCCACATGTTCCCCATAGCATTTTCTATAGACCTGAGAATACATAACCGAACAATAATATAAATGGATGAACTAGAGTTTACCTATACTTTTCCATGTTTGAATACATTTACTCACTAACCTTGTTGTCTTTGAGCACATAGTGACAGAAGCTCTGAGCTCCAGGATGCTTGAATTTTTCAATGATTTTCTCCAAGGCCCAAGTCAAGTTGACTTTAGGGAAGGGGTCTAGATCTTTATCCATCTGAGGATAAGAGTCTTGACAACCCATGGCTTCCAGCCAAGCTTGCATGTCTTCAACAGGGCAATCACATTCTTCACTATACACTGGACCTAAATGAATGAAGATAGTTTAAAATAAACAATCGATAGCTATAATCAAAGTAAGTGGCTTCAGAAAAAACCCCCATAGAACTCATGTTAAAATTCTTGTGAATGTATTTATTTGCAACTTATATGCAACCATAATTGTAGCCAGATATAAAAATTCACCAAGTAAACCTGCAAAAGAAGGTAGTAAAGGACAGAAGAGAAGAAACTAGAGTACAATGTGATGATGCAGCTTCCAGGAGCTAATTTTGGCATGGCTCAAGATATGGCAAAATGTGCCAGCATGATATCTATCAGAACACAATTCATGCCAGAAACAGTAACAAATATATATATTACTCTCATCATACTATTGAGTCAGACATGATTTACAATGAATCCTGTGAGCTTTTGCATGAGTCAGACCATGGTAGCATGTTTGATCAGGTTTCTTCCATTGATTGGTTGAAAATGATGGATTCTCTGAATTTTTGGTTCAGGAAGTTTACATTGCCACATTCAAAGAAGACAAAACTTATATCCATCAGATACTTCAACAGCTGGCATACATCATCCTTCAAAATTCCTTAAAATCCCCATAAATTAATTAGAAGGAATTAGATCCTTTTAAAATGTATATAATGAAAATTCTGTTTTGCTATGATTTTCTGATTTTATAGTGAAAAGAAGTATTGAAATAGCCAACCACCCATTGATGCTAACTCCATCAACCCACTTTTAGTTGTTTGGAAAATATTATCTTCAAAATGTTAAAGTGAATCATGGAACACCCTGTACATAGATGTATACATATGAGGCCAATTGGAAATTTTGCATTTTCCACATCTTTTGGTTTGAGCTGTTAATAATATATTCTTTCTGGTGATTTGATTAAGCCTTCTTGCATTTGGAGAATGTGGAAGACAGGTTTTAAGAAGTTTCCCTCTCCAAACCTCTGGGCTAGTAATGCCACTGTCTGACATTTGAGGGAGATCAATCAATAGTCAACCTATTTGTAATACAATCCTGGGTAGACATTTGCAGTGAGTAATAAATGGTATAAAATCAGTGAAGCTCTTTTTAGTTCCTATTGGGAAAATGGGAATTAGGTGATTCTCATGCTGCCAGCCAATAATATAACTCCATCAATGGCATCACTCCTGACTCCCATGGAATGACCTTGGATATACTTTAGGAGGCTAAATTAAGCTCAGCACTTGGAAAACATGGATATTTCCTGTTTCAAAACATTTGGTGCTGAGAACATTGAAAACATGAGAATAATATATTAAACATGAGAAAGAAGGGACTTAATATGCATGTTTTCCACACATACAGATGCACAAACACACACACACTGGAAGGGGTCAGCCTGTGAGTTCAATGGAACTTGACATCTCACAACATTTTCCTCGTCCATCAATGAGTCAACAGACATTTAAGAGGTTGCTTGTATGTGTAAAGGATGAGAATCAAGGAGACTTCCTGAGACTCTTGTATCTTGAGAAATGTGATCATACAGCAATTTTTCCCAAATTGTCAGATTACTTGTACTCAAAGGTTTGCCATAGTGAAATAGCCATCATCGTCACTTTTGGCAACAGGCTAAGAAAAACTTTTGAAAGCACTACCCTAAATGGAAAGTATTTTATTTTTTTTTTTAGCCTAGTCCCCCTATCTGACATGCATGCCTGCTCCAGTCCTTGCCACAGAGGGTGGTCTTTTTCTGCCCAGGTCCATGCTGTCAAAGAACTTGGTCCCATCAAGACCCAGTGAGGTTCTCCTTAACACTCCTGTCCCCCCTCAAAAAAGACTAATGACAATAATAGCCAAAGGAGCAGGTGTGATGATAGTGAGATCCAACAAAATTTTAAACTGCATGTGTGTGTGCATTTGAGAGAAATAAAGATTTTGTGTTTACACTGGCTTGCATGAGGAAAAAATTGGGATCTTCCCTTTTGAGAGCTGAAAAATTGGCATCAACTTTGAAAAAGTTTTTTCAGAAAATGATACACAAGAACCAAAACATGGGTTATTTTATTTAAATCCCAATTGAATTTTTCAAACCACTCAAGTTTAAAACCTTGATTTCAACAATGATTTATACCAGAAAACTCTGCTTAGGCCTACCTGAGATTTCATAGGGTGATCCTTCAAGATGTTTTCCTCTATGTGTCACAGACAGAATAATGTCATCACAGGACTCCAACAATCGATATCTACTGATGAGGATACCATCATCTGTGAGGAGGAAGTCCTTACGAACTGGGCACCTTCCTCCTTTGCTTTTGATGGAGAACTCAAAATCAGTCACATCAATCTTCTCATTCCTAGAATGATAAAAATAAATATTCTGAAGAAATCATACAAGTATACTGTATATTAACGGTGACATGAGAAGTCTCTGATCACCAGTGCCAAAAACCTTCAATTTTATTTTTCATCTAAAGATACATAGAAAGCAAAAAGTTCTCATGTTGTAATGTGGTTGATTGGGGGGAAGAAAAGGGAATGGAAGGTTAAAACCCTCCTCAACTTAGTGCTTAAGTTGAACATGGCTTTTATTTTAAATGTTTTCTGTTGATTTGCAATGACTGGATAGATGATTCGATGAATGAAATGGAATGAAATCATGAAAAGTGTAATGTACAACATATAGCATACACCATACCTCAGGTTGAAATAAGTTCAATATAATAAAAAGTGGGAAGAATAAAAAACTTAAGGTATAACAGCTAAAACATAAATATATACATATAGTCATATATGATAGCAGAGGTTTGGAGAGGTCATGACATCCAATCATTCTACATCTCTATATTTCAAACAGTCATGTGATGTCATCAGTTTCATTCTCTTTTCCATGAATCTCCTTAACAGATGGCTCACAAATGATCAATTTTCATTAATGGCTTTTGTTCATCATGACTCACAGATAGAGCTTAAGTTGTAAAAAAATGTGAAATATACATATTAATATATGAAATCCTCCCTTAAAATTATTATGTTCCAAAATGCCATAAAACTTAACTGCATTACTGCTGTAGAAACATGACTTAATTATACTACACCTACACAACTGTTCAATTTTTGCTCTGAAGTCAGTGAAGTTTTACATTGTTGTATACACTTGTGTCTTGACCAGCCTTCATTGCGAGGAATCAAGTGGCATGTCACATAAACAAGGCATCTATTTAAGTGATCCATACCCACAAATTAATCTGGATCAGGGGTGCACAACACACAGTGTGCAGGCAGCATGTGGCCCACAAGGCCCTCGCTTGTGGTCTGCCATGACTGGTAGCATTGTAAGTGCTACTATGTTTCCTGCCCCTTTGGCCACAGCTATGGTCAGCCGGACTGCAACCTGTGGTAGGTGAGTAAAAATAGAAAATTGCCCTCACAGCCTTTTCAATTGAAGGTTGAATGGCAAAGTGGTCTGGAATGAGTGAATATTCCAGAGACCATCTTCTTAAAAGTGAGAAAAAGTGGTACGTATCGATAGAGCACTTTCTCCTTTACTTAATTTTTAAAAATAACTATAATTTTTTTAATGAAATTGTGATTCAGTGGTTCTGAAGCACAAAAACCAACAACACTTTTTTCGGAAATTTTTTGCAGATTGACCGCCTTGCATTTCAGCCCTTCAATTGTGCACCCATGATCTGGATTGACTGATGATGCACTTGATATATTCAATTTTAAATCCCTACTCCATAACAACCATTAACAATAGAACTACCATAAATGTGACAAGAATTTGAATTCTCTGAAAAACTGAAATAATAGGATCTCACACCACCAAATCCCAATCGTGCCATAAAGGCCACCACTGGTGAGAGAACCTGAGAGCCTACTGTGGAAGCAGGGCAGGCGCCTAGGCCTATGCCACCTGCCATTTCATAATTGCAAGATACCGGTAGTACAGCCTTTGTCTTTGAGGGAAAAGCCGCTTTTCTAAGTAGAATATTTGTCTTTTTCATTATCTCCAGCGATTCAACTACTGCAGAAAAGGTGCATTAATAATTACGTATGAAGTGGCTGATTAGGCCAAAGCTCAGGCCTCGGCTTCAACTGTTACATTAGCTGAGTACAAACCAGAGAACTGACCTTCGTGGTACAATGAAGAAATAATGGGTAGGAAGCCGGTAGAGGTGAGGCTCCAGTCCTGGTCCATAGATGTCAAAGGGAGGTTTAATGCTATCTTCATCGTTACCAGTGATTGAAGTGGCAAAGCAAAGTAGGCCCAGGCAAATAACGAATCCAAACCCTACGATCGAGCGGGTCCAAGGCACGGGCCAGAATATTGGCCGGTTACTACGTCCGGCAAAGCCGCCACCAACCATGATGTTATGCTTTCGAATCACCAGCAAGATAGTGTCTGTCGGAGATTACGTCATGTTCTTGGAACCGGCATTGAAGTGGAGACGAACGGTGGAGCCCAGCTTCAGCATTAATTTTTTTATATTTCGTCAGATGTTGTAACTGGCGAACTTTGCCGCTTAGTTATCCAGGTGCATTTCCTCCAGTGATTTACAAATGAAATCGTAATCACTTTTACATTCTGCATGTACAGGGTGCGTGAAAAGTTCGGAAGCAAAATTAAATATTTATAACTTCTTGAATTCGCGACCACATTTTTTTTTACTTTTTTGTTTTGAGGCTTATTCTTTTCTTTATTTAATGTAATTGTCAAAATATTTATAATATTTATTTTTTAGATGTATACTAAACGAGAAGCAATAATATAACTTTTCAAGAGTGGAATGAAGCAAGCAGAAATTGCAAAACAGCTCGGTGTTTACCAACGGGCGCATTCAGTTGTGACCCGAGTCATGACTCGAGGTTCATGATTCTTGGCAGGTGCGGTGCTTTTCAAAAACTATTATTCCCAGGATTGATGAAATTGACAAGAGATGTCACCATGGAGTAAAATTTATTTTGAAGCCTCAATGCAATCATTGAGCTGAGACCCTCGAGTCATGACTCGGGTCACAACTGAATGCGCCCAGTATGACTGTCTAGAACGATCAAATGATATCAGGTGTTTGGCACAACATCGGATCGTAAAAAAAAAAGGGGAAGACCTGCTACTGCTTCCACTTCTGCCAATCGACAACGCATCAATAAACAAATCAAGCGAAATTCACAACGGTCAATGCGGACTATGGCAAAAAATATGAAAATCAGTGACTTTTCAGTGCGCAAAATGGTCAAAAATGAGCTAGGGTATCCGTCACTCTTACAAGCTGACAAAGGCCCACTTCCTAATTGAAAAGATGAAAGCCAACAGGCTCGAAAAAGCACGAAAGATCCAGAAAATCATCGCTGCTGCCCGCCATTCTTCAATTCTTTTTACAGATGAAGAAATTTTCACAGTTGAGCGAAGCCACAACCATCAGAACGATCGACAATTGTTGCCAAGAGGTTCGTAGACCATTTCTAATCGAGAGATCGTCAGTCGCAGTAATTTTCCAGCTTCCGTGATCGTTTGGGCAGGAATCACTTCAAATGGCAAGACCCCTTTGGTTTTCGTGGGTAAAGGAGTCAAGACCTATGTCAAATCCCACCAAGATAGCATTTTACGGAAGGTATTATATCCCTAGACAAGGAAACATTAGAAAAATGACATGGATTCTTCAAAAGGATATGGCACCTGCGCATTCCGCAAAGTCGACGATTTCTTTTCTACGGAAAAATTTGCAACCGAACTTTTCATGCACCTTGTATATACAGTATATGGCACTTACGAAGAGGTGAGACTGTCTCCCGTTCCCCCCCTCTCCCCTCTCCCTCTCTCCCCAGCCTTCCCTTTCCAAACTCATTGGGAGAGTTATCGTTATTATGACCGATGCGAATCATCTAACATTTCTACTCTTCTTGAATTTCGGGAGTCTTTTCTTTTGCTCGTCCAAGAGTTTAGAATCGCTCTTGTGTCTCGCCTTGTCCTCCCTCGTGATGGAGAACACTATTTTCGTATTAACGGCAAATTGACTGATTTTACTACTTAGACCTTGATCCAAATCGCTAATGTAAGCGAAAATCTGTATTATGTAAGTGGAACTAAATATAGCCGAACTACGAAAGTAATTATTAAAAAAAAAAATCAATTGTCAAGTACTCACAATACCTAAGTGCTTTCACTGATCATTCAAACGAAGAATGAGAAAAAGCTCAAAGAATTCATGCTTTATTTCTTATTTCTTTTTTTTTTCTCATCAGCAATTATATCCCGTTTCGCACACTTTTATATTGTTGAAAGTTGAAGATCCTTTGGCATGTGGTTATTCCTTACGGGCATCAGAACTTGGGGAACTTGGGGAGTCCTTCGTGCTTCTCTTGCAGGGCTTTCGCCGCATGAATAAGTCCTGCAGATGCCATCAGCATGAATCCTCACCGACCTGACAATTGCGTGCAAATATCTTCCTGATGGGGCACTGGCCCGTCCCAAATGACGGGGTGCCACCACCCAAACTTGTCGGCTGGAGCCTTTTCTTAAATTTAAAGTCATTTATGTCCAGTCGGATCAGCAAAAGAAAACAACTTAAGAGGAGGTTGTAATAACACGAAAGTTGGAATGTGAAAAAGGCGCAGACGTACCTCGGTCAAAGACGATGCTCATCGTTGTTGGGCGAAAATTCACAGCAAAGCGTAGAATTGAAAGACGCGATAACGCCTTTCTGGCAAAGATTCACAGTGGAATACCTGGCAGCCCCTCCTCAGTCCATGCTTACATTTTACCCTTAACTGAACAGCATTTTTTGGGGAGGTCCAATTGGTCTCGACTTGACTATCAATGAGCATGAACACACTGTTTACTATTTAATCACACGCCTTACGATTTAATCGCCTTCTCGCATTGGTTGTCAGACCAAAAGGAGCATATATAATTTTCTTGTCAATGGGGACCTGCAATTGACACTTTAAGGACATATTCAGGATGTTCTACGTTGACGTTCTCCTGAAGACCCACTAAATGTGATCCTTGTGATGTGCGAACATGGCCCATAGTGGGACATGGGACGCCCCATGGGATCATGTTTCTGGGGACAGGTCATCCCGTTCTGCATTGGTCGATAATTTGCGGTCCGCTGGGCAGATCCGGCCCTCCATTTGGCCCGCGAAAGCCCGGTCATCGCACAATACGGTCTGACAGTTGACGTTCATTTAAAGTTTTCATTTGAATGACACTTGATAGGTGTTGGTCCGCGAAAGTGCAGCATTCTGTCATCCGGCCCCCCGTGATATTCAGTTGCCGACCACTACTGTGTTGTATACCGCGGTGCATCTCAGGAATATCCCTTCAAGACGTCCTACGAACGTCAAAGCAGCTTACTTGCTTTCTTCTCCTGAGCCCCTTATGGAATGTGTTTCTCAATTAATTGTGCAGTTCAATTAAAGTAGTCCCCAAAGGAGTTTCATCTGGGACGGCTTCTTCAATTAGAAAGTCTTGTTATATAATAACTTTATTTCATATAATCGGGTTTCACAAAGCATCAGACTACACAAATCTCATGAAAACTAAACAGTCCTAGAGTGGGCACACACTACCGTCTTCAAAGAAAAAGTAACACCCACAGGGACTCAAAGATTTTTGTAAGCGTCACCCTTATTGTCCCTGATGAACAAAAACAGGCACGTAATTTTCATCAGGGAAGACAAGCACAGGCAATAATCGCATGAGGATTTTCCACTTACGGAAAATAGGTGGGTATGCGTGCGGAAGGGAAGTACGGAAAGGGAGAACATTGGAAGCAGGAACCGATGACTTCGGCACCAAGATAGAGGAATAATATTTCTTCAGGGATACGTGGGAGAAAGAATGAAGGGAGAAATAAATAGAATATTCCACGTCGAAAATCCTTGCTCGAGTCCGAGTCCCCTTACTTCTTTCGGGAATGAATTGGCAGCAAGAAAAAAAATATTGAGAAAAATATCACCGACTTCTGGATCTTGGCAGAAGGGAGTTAGAGCCCTTTAGATGTGCTACGTCAGCAGCTTGAAGAACATGACGGCCAATGAGATGTTGATGAATAACACAAGTATGACCAGTTGTTGGCGCGAGAACCAGTCCTAGAAAGGGAAAGATAGGAAGGAAAAATATGTGTGGTGAATCTCCGCAGAAGCATCCCGATTGCAATTCGTTGTTGTCTATGTGGAAGTTGTCGAAGATGGTGGACAAAGACCGGTCATATAATAAGCTTTCGCAAGAGGTAGTGATATGGAATTGAGAAAAAGAATTCGATCCTTTCCTTGATTATTATTCCTAAATGTTTATATTTCAAATTGGGGATATTCTGCGATGGATCTGTACCAATAGAGTCGTCGGAAACCTTTTCGGCTATGTGAGCCATATTTAGATTGAGCTAAGCGTTCGTGAGCCAAAGATTTTCAAAACAACATAAATTTTTCTGAAGTTGGCAACAGACATGTGCATTCTTTGATACATGAGAAAAATGAAGAACAACCATGATTTTAGCCATGACTCAATGTGTATTTTGGTATATTATGAGATAAATACAAATATTGCGCCTCTGAAACTTGCCATACTTGTTTTCAGGTAGTATTAAGTTAAATTTTCCATTTTTTTGTTTTACTCGAGGTTTCCATCAAGGTCAAGGATATTTTCTATAGGCTAAATCCTGACAACTTCCAGAAGGTGAATATATATATATTTGCAACTGAAATAATATTTGTTTAATTGAAATTGGGCAATAACTATATATATGTCGTAGGGATTTGTAGAATTCAGGGGGATTTCGAATCTCCCTAAGGAGAGAGAATTTCGCTAAATCCGCAGGTTTAGCGAAATGCTTTGAAAGTCGTGTCAATGGGTAGCATGTACCGAATCCGTTTAAGCTAAACTAATCTGATCTCACTATGCTAAACTGATTCCTATGGGGATCAGTTTTACGGAGATAAACTTATTCTCATAGACGCCCATTATGAAAATGAATCAGTTAAAAGTTAAACGAATCTGGTGCATGTCACCCCACACCACTACATACTAGGGAGATTCCATATCTCCCTGTCTCGAAAATTGCCCTTCCCACGGCTCGTCCCGCCGAGGGCAATTCTCCTTTCGTTTGTGTCGACGGATTATTTAAGGCTGAAGAATCCCGTGTTAGCTATCAGTGCGAAGGCCACGCCTGCTTCTGCCTCCCAGCCACTAACGAAGAAAGAGTTATGTTAAAAGTTGTTAAGTTGAAGACCACGTCCTGCTCTGCATCCCAAGAACAGACAGAATACGTGTCCCTGGAACCTACGGGCGAGAGGGGTAAGGTAAGAAGGCGGCAAGGTATTTTTTGGGGATTCCCGCTGGCGTAATTGACTCGTCCTTCCTGCCTGAACAGTAGGTAAAGGCAATTGACAAGCAAGCTGTGAAGGTGCCTAATGGCGTGACGGTGTCCTTGACGAAGGTTTTGATAGCAGAAACAAGCTAAGCCAGTAGAGGTGCAGGATCCATCTGCAAGTACTGGAAATCTTGCCGCACACAGATGCAGGTGTACAAAAACTAGGCAGAACATGCTCATCCAAGTGTCATGGGGGAAAGCCGTGCGACCTCCTAAAATAAGACAGGTACATTGTTAAATGACTCCGCTTCGAATTTTATTGACGTTGATTTTTTTTCCTTACTTCACATGGACTGAAATGAAATTCCATTTCCCCCGGGTGTCTTGATGGTTCTCTTTTTCCCGAGGGGTAAACAAAATGATGGAAGCATTGGCAGCTAATCTGGGTGATTTGGAATCCCCCTAGGTGGAGGTGACATAATGGAGGATTTCAAGAAGATTTTGCCAAACCCGCGGGTTTAGCGAAATTCTGTCTCTCCCTAGGAAGATTCGAAATCCCCCTGAAATCCACAAAACCCTACGACATATATATTAGCACCTGGAGAATTCTTCTAAATCAAGAGAAAATAGAGCCTTTAACGAACATTTGGAAAACCTTATCCTTTGGGCCATCGTCGTATTAGGCTAAAAATTAAAGTTTGGCGGTTTCGGACCCAACCAATGGAAATCCAACCAATGGACTGTGTACTAAGGGATCTCAATGGAATGAAATGTACCTCATTGGGTTGAGTTCATAAGGATTGACCATGTAACTGAGGTTTCATTGCGTTTCACAAAGATTTGCATCCCCACCACGGATGGCTATATAGTCTCCACAGATATAGTCTCTAACACTAGTTAGAAGACAATGCCGAAAAGCCTAATTTAGTCACTCAAACAAAATGACTAAAAACCTAAAGCCTCGCCCTAAATAAGAGTCCAAGAGGAGAAAACAATGGCTTTACATATATTATCCTTTAATCCTGAAGATTGACGGACATCATAGCAGTTGCATTGGAAGTTTAATTTCTTTTTCAATAGAAGGCCAAAAAAGTTATGTACCTGCTGGTTTTGCTGAGATACAGAGGACTCGTGCGATAAAAGTCACGTCAGATTAGTAAGATTCCTCTCTCTTCCACTACCTTATAGCACTAGCTAACGCGAATTCATTGGAACCGATGACGAATCATCTACGGGATGTGCAGTCTCGATGACTGAATTATATCATGTTTGATGACACCGCCGCACTTGATGCATAGAAGCGAGTTAAATCCGGTTTCAATTCCAAGGGTGGATTTTTGAACAGAGCATTATCCGATAATGCTGCTTTATTTCAGAGAAAATGCATTGTAAATCTGGTAAATAAAGCTGCATTATCGGATAGTTCTCTGTTCAAAAATCCACCCTAAGTCTGATGAGGCAAGAGTTCGGCACTATTTCGATTACACCATACTACTACCTTGTAGAAGATGGGTTGCTGTAATTGTATTGAATTTTAAATTATCAATGCACAGTAGAACGAGGAATCAGAGAGGAAAGAAGGGCGTGGAATAGGGGTAAAGAGAGAGAGAGAGAGAGAGAGGCAGACAAAATCAGACCTGAACGTTTGGACTGACGAGATAGAGGAAGGGATTCTTCCGAAATCGTTCCTCTTGTTCCCGCTGGGAGATGACTTCTTGTCTTCTTATATGAGACATTTTGGTTATTTCTTCTCGGGACATGGGAGCCCCAGCTACTTTGGGCAATTGTGGCGCCTCCGGCAAACTCTTCTTCCGCCGTTTCGTCCCTCCTCCTGACGGGTTCTGACGTGTTTTCAAACAAATACAAAGTCACACTCAGCAATACTCCGGATCACACTGTGATCGCATTAACCCTTCAGGTCGCTGTGTGCCCAATTGGAACATGCCAATAGATCCAGTTATTAATAAATTTACACATACGAGGGTTGTTATTAGAGCCCTGGGAATTACTACCGACGAAAATTGAAGGGCTGAAAGGAAAAGTGGTCTATCCAGCAAAAAATTATTTCCTCGAGCTCCACACGAAATGAGTGAATATTCCAGTGACCGTCTTGTTAAAAGTGAGGAAGAGTGGTATGTATCGATAGAGCATTTTCTCCTGTACCTAATTTAAAACATAAAAAAACTAACTAAAATTTCTATGAAAGGAACAAGGTTCTAAAGCACAAAAACCAACACTATTTTCGGAAATTTTTGTAGATAGACCACTTAACCTTTCAGCCCTTCAATTGTAAACTAAATTTAATGATGCCTGACCAACATGAGCCCTTTCTATATAGTTTCCTGCAACTGAACAGCATTTTCCCATCTGTGAATCCACTGCCTGAAGCTGGAAGGGATGAATTTCCTGGATTGTTGGCGGCACGAACAGGAAGTTTCTTTTTCGATTAAAAAGGACTGACGTCACTTGATGCGTCGATGCTGGAAAGAGCAAGGTCGAGGTACCTCTTATTTTGAACTGTGAATTTCATCCTGTTTTGAAGATGAAGAGATTTGAAAGCGAGGAGTGCTTCTCCGCACGGACAATGCATGATCGTAAATGGCTACGTACGCCTACGTACATCGCTATGGGAGACGATGCACATCCTCTAGTTTGAGGTTCTACTTCATTGATTGATGCATGGGGCAGACATCTCGAGACATCTCGCGCCCTCAAATTCTTGACTCTTTCTAACACTAAAGCGTCAAATGGCAAGCCACAAGCTATTTTCAACCTACAGTTGTGTCGCTAGCATCCTAGGGAGTTCGTTCGTACTGGCTCCAAGTGGGTTCCCAGATGATAAAAACGTTGAGATTTGAAGAGATTTTGTTGAAAGGCCACAAGTGGAGTAGGTACCAATGAGAGCAGAAATAATTCGCGACTGAAGGAGGGAAATTTAATAAGTTAGTGAGTGATTTGGAAATCGCTCATAGACACCCTGAGAATGTTTTTGTTCTCTTCCATGCCCCTGACCCAGTACGTATCGGTAGGAAGCGTACACGACGATGTGAAGGCCGAACAAGCCGAGTGAAGTACATGCCACTATTGGACCTTCATTAAGGTCCTACTCCTAGGCCACTCTCGTGAGACTGAAGTGAGTTCCACTCTAACGAAAGTAAAGGGCGGTATTTTATCACTTCATTTAATCTCCGCCACAATTCATTATTGGCTAAGTTTTCTTGCTCTGCTTTTCCCTGGTTCTCATACCATCCCAACTCCATTCCTGTTTCAACAGATGTTCTATCTGAGAAAGATGAGCAAGAAAGATGAGCAAGCCTTCTGAAGAAAGACCACGGTGTCTTTATCATTGTTAGTCCTATGAAAGTGTCATACAAATACTGCATTTAGTTCAATTTTAGGTTCACGTTCGGATTTAGCTTGGCACAGAATTATTTTCTTCACATGTTACTTATTCCTGCATTAGGTGGTATCGTATGTTTTCACGATGCCTTGAGGGCAGACCAGGAGAAGAAACAAAGGCAAAGGAATTCCATATTTAAGTTTGCCTTTGTCAGTCTGCATATTTTCAAATTTCCATGAGAAATAGGGAAATAAGGGCCCTTATAAACATCCATCCTTAGCCTATTTCGAACTGAAGGATTAAATTTGAGAATTATCCACGTTCATGGGATGGAATTAAGACTCTCCTCTCTGATGCAAATGAGAATTTTCCTCAATTATCGTTCCTAGGGTTTTTCAGGCTGAAAAATGGAAATTCTTGCCCACCTAAAAATTTATGGAGCTGCATATTCGATATATACTATACCAGTGTCCAAAAGAAACGTTACAAGGTAATTTAGGGCTCGCTCGCGTAGTAGGAGTTTTGATATCATTATATCTGCCTTTAGCTGAACAAGTCAACACCGCTTGAACATTATTAGGGCATGCTCGCTAACCATTGAGCGCTGGGCACGTGCCACGTCAGGAAAATGCCTAATTAGGTTTTCTTCATGCCATATGTGAAGTTCAGTTTACATAGGTATAAAAAGGGATGCTGCGCATGTCATACAGTCTTCGAAAAACATCAGATATGCCAAGGCTAACGCAGCAACAAAGAGATGAAAATGCTCCAAGAGGGTGTAACGCAACAGGATGACAACAGGGTGGGGTTTGATAGAGCGCTGATTCAATCTGCTTTAGGCCACGCGAGCCCATTAGAATCCTCGACTTCCTGTTGCGTATAATGCAATTTTACTTACGAACTATCTGGTTTTGGAAAGGCTCTATCTGTAATTTCGGACTTTTGCGTAGGAAATGTTGTATCCCTTCCGTTCTACTTCAACGTCATTGTTCCATTAGGTAAACTTTGAATAGGGGTGCCCAAATACTCCGATCTGCCCAAATTCTACAACCCAATGCTCATTTTCTACCACAGGAATACCTTTTTTTTGTTATATTAAAGCAATTAAACTCCACTCACATGCATGCTGTCGTTCAAAATACTTAAAAGACAACGTCAACACATCAGATATACTGTATGTGTTTTGGTATTATACTTGTTATAAGTGAAAGAGACATTTGCAATTCCACTTCACTGCCTTTAAGATCAGATCTTTAAGATCAGAATGATATTCATGCGGATATTCCAGAGTGCCATAACTTTATTACTTGTACAGAGAGCTAAGAAAACAGCGAGAATAAGACAAACTCGAAAAGTCGCTATGCAGCGTGTACTTTTAAGGAGGTAATACATATAATGAAGGTTACACGTAAAAAACTATGACTGTAACTCTTAGAACGAGTATCTTAAAGCCTCAACCTAAGAACGCTTCCAATGTTATTGATTTCATTCAATATCAATTCAAGCAGATGCTACCATGGAGTCCTACTATTTATGACAATATCCGGGCGGCAGAAGATTTCCCCCCAAAACTTGGGCAAAAGAAATGATTCTTCAACATCGAATAACAGCCTACTTATTACGATTTTCCCGCATAATCCTCAACCAGCTATTGACGAACATTAAATGCTCTTACGGACTCATAAATGATGCGTTAGATTCCTATGCTGCATAAGTCACCTGGTAGATACTTGAAGCAATGCTCCTGACGACGAAGCTGTTCCCTTGCTTCCTTATGGGGGTTTGGAAATACGGAGATACCAAACAAATTGGGAAATTTTCCTTGTGGAAAATTGCGGGACCCTCAAAAGGCAGGTCTCCATAACAAATTCATTTGTCTCTGTCGTGATTCCAATCGTAACCGCAAGAGAAAACTCAACCATAACCCTCACAATTCTTCATTAAGGGACACACAAGGAATGAAATACTACAACATAACCTACCAACGTAATTCTACAACAGACCGTCTAGACACCGGATAGATTGCCAGGGGAACAACCATGAATGTACGAAATGGGCTTTTCAGAACGACCATCCTCCTTCTCCCCAATGCTCTCTTCTCCGAAACGGCCTATCACCCCACTCCATATATCAGGCCCGTCAAGAAGTACTTGGCCTCACCCACAAACCAAACACGAACAGATTTTACTTTACTATTAATATTCAGTGCATCATGCTCAATGACTCGCTCCCAACGATCAAGCAGCATTGTATTCCCGGATCGTAAAAAAAAATGATTACAGTCAAACCATTCTTGCACGGTTGACTAAACTCGTCGTCGTCACCAAAACGCCTTTTTGGTTGGTCTTTTTAAGATTTGTAAAGAATCGGAGTAATTTCCGACTGTACGCTGAATACTTGGTTCCGTCTGACCATTATCTGCTTGCAAATCTTAAAAAGGACCTTCAAGAAAGGCGTTTTGGCAACGACGATGAGTTGAAGTCAATCTTGCAAGAATGGTTTGACAGCATAATGAATCTCTTTACGATTCTGGTTGTAGAATGTTGCGTGATCACTGGGAGCGAGTCATTGAGCTTGATGGTCATTACAATGAATATTTATAGTAAAATAAAAGCTGTGCTCGCTTGGTTTGTGGGTGAAGCCGAGAACTTATTGACAGATCCGGCAGCTTCAACGTTCCCTACTCGCGCGTTGAAGTCCCCCACAGAAAAACGTGGCCGAGTTTTGGGATCTCACCCAGATAAAGCCTCATCCACTTCTTCAAGAAACGCATCCTAGTCTGACTCGCTATCGGCTCAATAAACCTCAACGGCAGTTCAAGGTTCCCAATCACTCCAATCTGAAGATGTTAAAAGTGACCCGTTCATTGACCGATTTCTATTCGATCACGCTGTCAGTCAGCCAGGGTCAAACGAATATCCATACTTCAATATGGGCAAACACGGTTGGGTCGGCTCCGCTCCAGTAGTGTCCACCCTTGGTCTTGGGAGATGGAACTCGTACCTTCCTTTTTGGCTAGGCCGACATTATCCAGTCGTTTTTCCTTGCCTTTCTCACGAGTTCCAACTTCTTAACGTCGAGTGTTATAAAGTTCCAAGTCACCCATGTCCAAAGTCCGTTGCTGAATTCGTTTACCCCTTGGTGCTACTCACGGTCTGCCATTTAGGCATAGTACCGGATATCGTACTGCCGGTAACTATTCGACTGATTGACCCGGACGTGTCTCCATGAGGTCTTACGCTACCAGAAACATTGGATTATCCGGCCCTGGTAGGCAACTTTATCTGAAATCACTCCGAAAGCACAGTGACTATTGCTATCCTGATTATCCTTGGCGATGACAGATCCAGTATCGAACTCCTGGGCCAAACGCATCATGTCTGTTTTGGTCCGCTTTTATTATCACCCTCTACAGAAGCTCCTGGTTCCTGGTAAGACCTGGGATACGACAGTCTTCCGAGTCGCCGGGGTCCATCCTCGCGGCGTGAACGCGCGTAACCAACGACAGCCTCCTTAATTTCATTAAGAAATTCTTTGAACAATCAGACTGAAGCTTATCTACCAGTTTTCTTCCGTATCCCTCCATTCTCTGATTCATTCCACGACCTAAAACGAGGAGACGCATATTCCACGGATGGTTCGAGATATACGAGGGATTTCTCAAAAGTTCTGCCAGTAGCCCCCAAGTCGTCATCGGAGGCGGCCGCAAAGTGCTACTTTGGGGCTACTGGCAGAACTTTTGAGAAATCCCTCGTATCCTGAGGACGCATCCTGGTGGAGTGCAGCAGCTCGAGCAATCCGGTCCGAACAGAATCGTTTCATGCTTTCACAAATACGGTCAAGTAGTCCGTTGCTTCAATTATGAGCAACAGGAATCAGCTATGGTGAACTACGGCACCTTTTCTTGTTGCCAAGTCTGAATATTTATGTTTCACTGCTTCTCAGAAGATCTGCTATGCAACTAAATATATATATATTTTTTATTAGGTCAGGAGCGGAAGGGATTTTAATTTCTTTTAGAGGAAGCAAATTCACGAGTCTGCTATTTCTCATGTTAATGGTCAAAGAATTGCTGTCCACGCTTGGCTTGTCTCCCATTCTCTTTTAAATGGTATTGTACTGCCAGATCTCCAGGAGCATAGGATTGTTGAAATTTTGTTGACTTGAAGGTCTTGTCAAAAGGAGAAAGAATACCGATCTTTGAGTCCAAACGTTAGGTATGGTGATCCACATAGAGAGCAAACTTTACAAATAGAACGGATACCTCGCTGAGAGAGTATGGGACACATGAACCTTCATTCCATCTTGCGCACCCAGAGGGAAATCCGAATGGTTTGAGCCGATAAGAAAAGCTAGGCACTATGGGTAGTTAAATTTTCCAAGGGATGAAAATACATTGGAAAAATGCAGTCGAAACAAGGGTAATGTGACAGGAGAGCATATACAGTATTAGGGAGGATATGCAATCGACACTGATGGAGATAGGATATTGAATTTTGGGAGGATTTGGCGACAGGAAAAAAAAGGAGACTCACTGGAGGTGGTGGCTTCTTCGCGACAGGAGTGATATAAAGGGATTCGGTTCTCTTTGGGGTTCCAGTCGGAGGAGTGGGGGGAGCTTCCCAATCACTTCCAAAGGAACCTACGGATTCTCCAGGGATATCCCCGTGCAACGTAACTGGTGTGGGTCTCACATTCGTTCGTGAGTGCGTAGAATCCAGATCGTCACCAGCATGGCCCACATGATCGGTATGTGGTGGAGTCTTCCTTGAACCACGGTTGTACCTATCCACTGAGGAATCTCGGCTCGGTGGACGTTGATACTGACGCAGGTGATCTGTCATGGTTTGTTGAAGCGACACACGTGTCTCTCCTACTGGAGGTAGTCCAGGAGTCCCTCGCTGTTGCTGAATGAAATTCGTATGACCATGACTAATCTCACCTAGCGGACCGCTTCGGTTCGAGCTGGATTGAGGGACTTCAAAATCCGATTGAAACGCTGGTGAAGTCCCGAACACAGATGCAACATGGATTTGAGGAGGTTCAAGGCCACGTCTAGGTCCACCACCGCCTCCAGTGTCTACGTTAATACGAGCATTCGAAGAAGGGTTCTCATCTCCGCCACTTATCGTTGTCGCCGCTGTAGAACTCGGCCCGGGATGAAATGGAATTTGATTCTCTTTTCCTTCGGCGGTCCCTAACCGACCTATGTCTGTCGGCACTGTTCGAATAGCAGGAGGCATTAGCGTCGGCTTGCTTCCTACAAATCAACGCGCGACAAGATCAAGGGATCACTCTGAACAGGGAATGGAGCGTTAAAGGAAGAAGGAAGAGGCCTACCTGCAGTGGAGGTGGAACCGGGAGGTCGAGATTCGGGAGAGAACTGCTTGGCACACACGACAGCGACTTCGGAGTCTTCCCTCGCATGAAGGGCTGCTATGTCGGCTTGCTCTGCCTTACCTCTGGCCGTCGCTGTCCTAACCACCACCACATCGCCACAAACGAAGGAAGAGAAGGAGACAAAGGCTCTTCAATAATGTAGAATTCCGAGAATGGTAATGTTTTTTTTACTAAAAAAAAACCTTATTAAGGATATATCCAGGTGAGCGTTATCACCTTTCTATTATGTGAAGTAAAGGCAAAACTTGATCCCCGATCCCTAATCACGAGCCTGGGATCTGGATCGAAAGTTACAGGTGGAAGGTACATTTTGAAGAGTTCTTCAACCCGCCCAAGATGGACTCTGATGTACCCTACTCGGAGCCTATCCGGGAGGAGAATAGTCTCACCATGGAGAGAGTTCAACAAGCTATTGGTAGCTGGAAAAACGGAAAGTCTCCTGATGTGAGCGAAATTCGGACAGAGACCCTGAGAGCGATGAGCATCAATTGGTTCTCGTGGTTGCATATGGTGTATCGAACAACATGGGAATTGGGGACGGCACCTATGGACTGGCAGACAGGTATAGTGGCTCCTTTTTTTTTAAGAAGAGGGACTCGAGGGAGTGTACCAATTACCGTGGCATCACTCTCCTCAGCATACCTAGTGAGGTCTATGCCAAGGTACTTAAAAAGAGCGCGTGCGGTCGTTAGAGAAGCCATCCAAGAAGGGCAGTGCGGATTTTATTAAGGGCGCAGTATCAGGAACTAGCTATTCACTCTTCACCAGATTCTCGAGAGACATTGGGAATATGCCAAAAAGGTTTTCATGTTTTTGTGGACCTCAAAAAGGCGTACGACCGTCTACTTCGAGGGAAGCAGTGGTGAGTGCTGCAAGGGTATGGTATTAACGGTCAGTTACTGTGGATCATTCAATCCTTATGCAGTGATTGCAGGGACTGCACTCGGGTGAACGGAATGGGTTCGGACTCATTCCCGGTATATGTGAGACTCCGCCAGTGTTGCTTTCTCTCTACTTCTCTGTTCCTCATATACCATGGATAGGATCTGTAAGTGTAGCCAGGACATTGAGGTGTCTGCATCTGCGATATCGAGAGAAAGTTGCCGATGATGCCGTTCTTTTGGCGCGATCTCGACAGGAGCTTCAGGGCGAGCTCGACCGGTTCGACTCGGAATATATTGCCGGAATTACATTAAGCCTCCCCAAAACTTAGGTTATGGTCCTCTCGAGAAGCCCGTCCTGCATATCAGGGTAAGGCACACTGTAACAGGTGGAGAAATTAAAGTACTTCGACTCTTGTTCTTGTGTTATAGGCATTATGGAAACGAGATTGACAATCGCAACCCCAGGGCTGCATCACCTTTACAGGAACTCTGGTGGACCGTGGTTGCCGAATCAGACATTTCCAAAGGGGTGAACGCTTGGTACTAAAGAGCGTTCGTCCCCCCACCTGCATGTACAACCATGAACTGAGGGTAACAATCGAAATAATCAGATTGCGTATTCAAGATGTTGAAATGAGGTGTTCACGTCGGGTAACCAGTGTCACGAGTCTCGACAAGGTGCGAATTGCCGCTATCTTTGAGCACCTCCACAAGTCGGGCAGGGAATTGAATCTGCCAACCCAGTTGCTGCTCGGCAACATGGTCTCACAGCTACTAAACAAAATGGAAAGTAGCGCATGAGCACTTCGATTTCATTCACAAGTTGGCTCTGGAATCGGACTCATTCCCAATTGCACCATACATACAATTGCACCATACATACGTAAGTCGAATCACTGGATATTGAGGCCCATTCTTAGTCTTATACTCATAATTATTGGCCAATATCGCAAAATGTTGGGCCAATATTGGACAAATATCGGTCGTAATTTTTTATTTTTCCGAATTCGAACTATATGGATTGAAATATTATGAAAAAGAAGATTCAGAATAAATGTTGTTCGTTGTTGCTTGCGAAATGGTCCAATATAGAGCACATCTTTGAATTAGTCCAATGTTGCAGTGCTATTGGAGGTGTGGTTCCATTGGCACAAATTCAATGTTTCGTCTATATTGAAACCTGTCTCATTTCAAAATTGAGTTGGTATTGGTTCAGCTTCGTTATCAACAAGCTTCAATATGAGTGACTTTGAAATTGAAACTTAAAAGCTCTTGAAATGTTAAGTCAAGAATATTGTGCAGGCCGGGTAGTTTTGTCTTCCAGAAGTGGCACATTCTCATTGAATCAAAATTATTCATCGTTGGACTGAGAGAAAAGTCTGTCAAAGGATGTGAATGTGAATACAAGATATCAAATACTTATTGGGGGTTTTCGGTACGGGAGTGATATCTTAATGCTCTGTTACAAATCCGTGTCTCATTGGTTTGGGAATGTCAACGTCACCGGGAGCACCGGGAGGATCAATGAAGGATCAATGAATGTGCAATTAAAGTTCCTTTTACGGTACTGCCAAGGTGCAATGAACACCTTTGGGAGTTCTGCTCCCATGCGTTGAAAATTCCACCATCCCCAAATCCATAATCTTTATGAGGACTTTGACACGGCTCCCACTTGACTCCATTTAAAACATTGATGAGAATTACAATGTGCTAATCCTAAATCCTTCCCATGGGGTCATGAAGTCAGCTAGAAAGTTGAACCATCCCCCCTCCATTCTCCGAGCTAGAGTTTCCTGGATGCTCTTTAGACTGGGTTTCTTCTTTAGACGAATTCAAATGTCTACCTCCGTGACGTCTGTGGGAGAAAGATAGGTACCTCGTGGAAAGAATTGGGGACCAATTGCAGCTGTATCAGGTATAGACTCACTATGGCAACTACTAGGGCATTATCTCGCTACGGTTGTATGAACCTCTGCTTGTTTGAGCCACTGCCAGATGACAGGGTCGCTGTCTCGATCAAGTGACACTGATATGCGTATAGAGAACGTCTCAAGTTCAAGTCAAATTCGATTAATGTCCTTCAGAAACGCCATGAAAAATAGGATATTGCAGATCAAACGGCACCTTAAGCGAGCGCCCAAAAGCTGCTCATCCGTGAATATACCACGCTCCAAAACCTCTATTTTGGAACCAGATTCCAGGTTGAACGTCTTCGAGAACGTATGTGTGTTGCTTGAGATAACTGTGTTTGATTGATTACTATTTTACACATGTCCTACTCGCATATACCATATTTAGCTAGAAATCCACGCAGTTGACAAAAAACCGTGCTCAAGCAACCTGGAAGACAGACATGCGCATTGATATGATTCGTGTCAATGTTTCCTTATCGCTCCTCCAATGCAAGTGCACAACGGTGAAGTGTTGGACGTAGAACGTTACAAAAGCATTTCTTTAACGTTCTTGTGCTAACGTTACATGGAGCGCTTCCAAAAGGAAAATTTTAACGTTATGCGAACATTGTGCGTTATATTATTCTATGTCACGGAAGAACACTCGAACACTGAAACACTCAAATAGCACATTTCCAAAGTTGCACTAACATACCTGTCTATGCTGAGAATATGGTAAGAGAGAGAGAACAAATAAAACCGAGCATCCTGATGCCATTCATCCCTTCTGAAGAAAGGCACATCAGACTGCCATCATTTTACTGCGCCACTGAATTGTGTTTTTCCTACGTTCCTATATTTTTTGACTAAAGGGCCTGCCAACACCACCTGGAGGCTGGCCGCGGACCAACTCTACCCTCTGAATCGTCTGCCCCCCTACAGCTACCCGTATGCTTCAATCAACATCTACACCAGCTCAACTATTTATCTTCACTCCTCTATGTATATACAACCCCACCTCACTCTACCCTTTTGTAAAGGGAATGCTTTGTAAATAAAGATCATTGACTGTGAAAAAAAAGGCCTGCAAAGCTTCTGGCTGTTGCTGGACAGCTGAAGTCTCAGGTAGTCTACAGGGAAGTTCCTGTCATACCCATGCAAAAATCCTCTTAAAAAATTTTCAGGAATCCTCCATCAGTTGCTGAAAATAAATTTAAATGTTTTTATACGAGTCGGAAGCTTTAGGGTTCCGATTGTCAGGAAGCCGTTAAGTCTAGTAGCGAGGCTTTCCGTGAAGCCGTTTAGACAGTCTTTCATCCTTGCGGTCCCGTTGAATGATGTACCAAGTATTCCAGAAACTTTCACTTCAGGCTACCGAGACGATGGAACTTTATACCGTTTGAGATGTCTCTTTCGACCACCAACTGCTCTCGAACAGGATCAAAAGATATAGCGGGATGCGAATAGGGAAAGTAGGATAAAAATTTTAAAAGAACCTGGAAATGGCGATATCAGCTTTCTGGAGAGCAATCTTGGAGGCCCTGGCAGCAGCGCTCACGGCTTGTTCAATTCTTTCACGGAATTTTGCGGATCGGATGAGAAAGAGATGCTTCTTCTTTTGGGAAGTAATTAGGACGTTGTTCTTGTATTTCCCTTCCTCTTTTGTGCCATCTTTGAATGCCGTGACTCCATATCCATATTTCTTGTTATTGTACCATTCTCCCTCATATTTCAGTCCATCACTTCTCTCACTCACTCCAAAGCCACATCTTTTGTCATCCTTCCATTCCCCCATGTACGTCTCCGTCACCTGAGGCTCCACGTGCTCGTCCTGCAAGGAGAACGACGTCCTCGGAGAGAAAGATCATGGATACAACCATCGAGGAAAGAGGCGGGACCTGAGTGACGAAGGAGGCATTCGAGTCCGTATGACCTCCGAGGTCATGGGTCAAGGCTGATGTCGCTGATTCTGTGGACGAAGCCGAAGATTTCGTCGATGACGTCGATCGAAGACTGGAACCCGTGCCCCTCTTATCCAAGTCCCCCGTACTTCTCTGCTTCCTCAACCTCTGCCGGCAATCGTCCACATAATTTCACATCAAATTTTAGGAAATAAGAACTTCTATGAAGAATGATACCAGAAGTCAAGTAGAATATAATTGGGACATTATAGCATAAGAAATTAGGCAGTTACTCCTTTCTAAAGAAAAATAACCTATGAGTAAGAATTCCTGGCTGTGCAATGAAAGTGATACTATTTTTTTTTAGGGAAAGCCTTGAAATATTCGTAGTGTAATGCGAAGAACGAGAAAGGTAATGCACATTATCAATGTCCTTGCTTCAGAGGATGATGGGGCGTATCCAAACTCCCTTTGTTTTTCCTGACAGTAGAAGTGTGATGAATTTAAGTGAAACATTTTTGAAAACGTTTCTTACAACCTTCTACAAGTTCCAACTTTTTGTAGGATTTTTTCAGAGTAGGTTATAAATGCTAATTTGTCCTTCTTCTCATAAGTGTTCGGAAACTTGATAGAATAAAGCACTTGAGAGACGGTGCCCCTGTGCCCAGAGTTCGCCATCTGAAAAAAGATCCCAAGTATTTATCGTGCGAATAGACAGACCCGGAGGATATTTTTTTTAAAGTTGCTGGATGTTTCGACGAGAGATCCTCTTCGGCGTTCTCGAGGTTCGTCAGACCTGGCCTTGAGGACGAATCCACCACGAGCATCATCGATCCTTCGATCTCTCCTTTCGTTGTCCGATTCGGGAGAAGGAACGTTAGTAGAACTAGATCCTGGTGCTAATGAGCCCCCGGTGCCTCCGCCACTCGTACCACCTGTACCCCCACCTCCTGCTGTCTCTGAACCCCGCAATGACGTCAAAGATGCTCTCGTGCCTCGAGGCCTGAGATGAGAAGCTGACCCATACGGGGCACTTGTTCTTACTCCGTAGCCGTGTCTCATTCCCCTCATCCATTGACCCTGGTAAGTTCCTGGGCGGGAAAAAAAAGTGGTCCTCGTTAACCTTTCCTAAAAGATAGAGGTTTAAAAAGGACGGGGATAGCAAGATACCTCCATCGGCGTACGTTTCCGAGCCGTAGCCGTCTTGGAGTCCATTAGCCCACGTTCCTTCATATTTGGCATTGGACGTGAGGCTGTGACGAACTCCGTAACGGCCTTTGTAGCCCTGAGTCCATTCCCCTTTGTATGTCCATCTCCCACGCGTTTCCACTCCTAAACCGTGTCGCTTCCCATTCTGCCATTGACCCTCGTATGATGCTCCGCTGGAAAGGATCGCGTCTTTTTCACATTTCAGGAAAAAACAATCACGCAAAACTAAATGATGTGGGATGGAATTTATATGGCACATGTAGTTTGCAAAATTTTTTTGCGTTGTAAATTTACTGAGCAAAAAATTATTTCCATATACTTTCCCGTAATGATTTTCACCAATCGTCAGTAATAATATAACTGTTTGGCTTTTCTCCTGAAACATAAATAACCAAATTTAGCACAAAGACATTGAAGTCTTTTGCTTGAACATCCAAAATAATTTGTTTTGAATTGGTTTCTTAGCATGGAAGGATTTCTTTTTCCGCCAAAAGCCCATTTACACGCAGAAATGAGCTTTGTTGTGAATCACTCCTACATGCCGTAATTGTAAATAGACCATCAATTCCAGCAACTCTTCAAGCAGATCACAAAGCAGAATGCATGTTACACCCTTCATTCGCCCCATGATAACTCCCATTTGGATAACAAATAAGATCTTCTGACAGTCTGAATTCACATAAATTCAGGAAGGGACGACAATATGACTCTTGCCAAACCAAGATATCAATTAACAGAATATTACCACGTATTTAGAGTCCAGAGTCTAGAAAGTACTAATATGATGTTATTGGAATGTTGACTATGGACTATTGACTATATATACGTGGTAGACAGTCTAAATGGAGCTAATACAGCTTCAAGTAGAAATTCAATGTTGACATTTCGGGCCATGTTCCCATTTCGAGCACTGGATAGACCTTGGTCTGAATCTTAGACGGAAACCAGGAGTAGAGGCGGTCCCATGACCAAACCCTTGAGGACTCCGCTCGCGACTCCTACTCCCGCCGGCGCTTCTTCATTTACCATTATTCTGGTCTCTTCCAAACAGCCAATAGGTTATGCGGTCACTTGCCATGTCTCGAATCCCGTTCACTCTTCCAAATTAGCCCGGAACCTCTTGTGAAGAGCGGCTTAGAAAGCTTCCGCGAAGTCTAAGTAGACAATGTTCACGGGATTCCCTGCATCCCTCCCATTCGTCATCTCAGAATTCTAGTAAATTGGTTAAAGCTATTTCACTTCCTTCTAATGCCGTGCTGAGATTCCCGAATAAGCAAGTTTCCCTGGAAGAATTTCAAGATGTGGTCTCTCAGAATGTTTCCAATGATCTTTCCTGGAATGCTTGTGAGACTGACCGACCTCTAAATACCCCTATTGCTCTTATCTTCCTTCTCAAAGATCGGTGAGACGTTCGCTAATTTTCAATAACACTTCACCGCTCAAAATGATAGAAGACGATTCTCAACGGTATCGACATTTCCCGAACGTGTCACGAGGAGGAATCTCGTAGAGACCGGTTGCCTTTTCTCCCCTTAGCTTCTTCATCTTAAATGTGATCTCTTCCTTTGTGATGATGACATCCAGGTTCTTTAGATTCATAAGGCTTAGCAGTCAGTCTCTCATTTGAGCGTTGGAATTGTGGTGAATTGTTTGAGATGTTAATATGACGACAAAAAAAGAGTTTGACTGACGAGGCGAACAGCCAACAAGGGCACTGCCACGATCGGAATTCCCCGTGTAATGTCTCCTTCCACAGGAAAAGAAAACTAAGAAAACTGATCAAAGTTGATCCTTAACCTTGGCTCTGACAAGGCTTACTTGCACGGTTGACCTGTTGGAAGGAATGCGTACTCAATTGGTTCTTGTTCACGATTCTTGTCATAGGGCTGGCTAAGCAATGTGTTCTTCCTATTAAATCCATTTTATTATATAATACAGAGTGTCCTGGAAAGTTTTGAACCTTTAACCTGAAATTGTCACATAGAGCCAGATGAAGGCGCCGCCGATAGGAACTCTGAAGGTGACCATGAGACAGCATGCATCATATGCTTTTGCCTTTTTTCCTTGCAGGCAATTGCAAAAATTCCAGAATTTCTTGTTTCAGAAGGAATTAATTCTCAAACCTCTTCTTTCCGAAAATCACATCACATTTTTAAAGTGCTGTCCGCCTTGGACGAGGCATATTCGGACTCGTTTTTCAAAGTTTCTAATGACTTTTGGGAAAACATTATGTGGGATTGTAAATGGATGCTGCTGAATTGCAGTCTTCAGCGCCTGCAAAATCCCAGGTCGAGTGGCGTAAACATTGTTCTTTAGATGACCCTCAACGAATCAATTCCAATGGGGTCAGGTCAGGGGATCTTACTGGCCACTCCATTGCATCTCCTCTGCCGATCCATCGTCCTGGAAAGTTAATGTGAAGGATATTGCGAACTCTTCTGTCATAACGGGCTGGTGTGCTGCCGTTTTGATACCAGAGAGGCAACTGAGGAATAAAGTGTGTCCATTTGCTGTTGACGTGGGATCTGATGAGTCTCGGGCATGACATTCACCTGAAGCATCGCAAGGTAACTGGCACCATCAACAGTTCGAGGATTTTCTGGAGATCTTCAAGGATATAGACCCAAAATTCCATAGTACCAGATACCTGCCTACAAATTGACCCTGAGTGAGCCACGAAATACCTCTTCATAGCGATGTGGATTTTGGCTGCTCCAGTGGTGAAGATGGAATCTGGTTACCCTTCCACCCAAGTAGAAGACAGCTTCACCACTGAAGATGATGCGCTTTCAGAAGTTCTCATCTGGATCAACTTTATTGCAGATAATATTGCAGAAATTCACTCGCTGTTGGAAATCTGCCTGGTTGAGGCCTTGCACCTTACACAGTTTGGATGGTTTCAACCGGTGCTCCTTCAAGATGTTGTGGACTGAAGTTTTTGACTTGTTTAAAATTGATCCTGCCTTTCGGATGGACTGCTCAGGGTGTCGCTGAAACTCTGCAAGGACCCTTTGACCCATTGCCGTTTTTGGCCTCCCTTGACCCCACACATTGTCAACACTTCCATGTTGCAGGAACTTCGCGTGGAGATTGTAAATGGATGTTTGGGCAGGCGGAGCTCTCCCATATTTTGCCTGAAACCTCTGCTGAACGGATTATGGACTTCTTGTCGCTAAATACCATTTCACGATATCAGTCTTCTCTAGCTTTGAATAAATGGGTGCCATTCAAAACTAAAATAGGCTCACTCAAAAAATTCTTCCAGCACAACGCCCCTTAAAGGTGTAAAATATTCTCAATTTTCAGGGTCCAGAACATCCCAGGACACACTCAGAATGGAATAATGTTATTTCATGTTGTCGCTTCTAATCGAAACTACTCAAGAGCAACAAGCAGAAAATGTCCAGCCTTCGACTCTGGAAGTACGAAACAGAGAATAAGCAAATAAAACCAAATGATTGCAAAACAGAATGCAGTTTTGAGGCAAAGCCTAAAGAAAGTTAAAAAGAGGAAAGGTTAGCGAAAGATCCTATTCTATAAAAATGCCAGACAGCCCGCGTCAACGTTGAGGTCGCAAGTCTGACTGCAAACGTCCTATCCAGAATTGTTCCTGCTGACAAGTGCTAGAGCTGACAAGTGCTGACAAGTATATGATAAAAGTATATGTTTGAGCCTGTGATTCTTTCACTCCACTAATCTACTCACTGGTACACCTCTCCTTTCCCCTTTACATAGAAATCATTTGCTTGGAATATTCACCGTAACAGAGTTCTGTCGAAATTCGAAATGAAAAAGTCATGTAACATAATACATATGTTGAATCAGGGATTTTCCTCTCAAAATAAGCAAGGAGCCATAGTCGAAAACCGAATCCTCTTCTGTCCCCTCTTCTCCATCACCTTCGCTTGTTTCCTCTTCTGAACGTTTGAAACTGATGCCGGGCTGACCATTAAAATCTGCGCTGTGTCGTCAATTGTCTTCCCCTCTTTTTGCATATTCAGGATGGCCTGCTGTTCTTGAAGTGCCAAAGATTTTCCCCTACTCCGACGCGTTGACACGATGTAGAAGGGAGTAAAGTGGGCCCATAGGGCCATTGTTACCCAAAGTATGGGAAGTAATACCTACTACAGTGACATCTCTCTAAAAAAATTTGTGGATGTACTTACTATACCTCTAGAATTCAGAGGCAATCGCAACTTAGTCTATCTGAAATTTCCACTGTGAGCAATCGATTGACTAGATCAACCTCGCGACTGAAATTCATAATATAATGGAAGCCTATGAAAGAAGTGGAAAAAACCGTGGTCCTGAATGACTCTAGCCTATGAAAGAAACGGAGCAAATGAATAATTTGGTATGACTCAAGCCTGTGAAAGAGGAAGGGTATAGCTTAGAGACAAAGGGTCCAACCAAGAATTCAGTCAACAGTGTTCTGTACAGTCATGTTGGAGCGATGCCTAAACTGCTTTTGATACTCTAGGCCTTGGTCTCGAGACACATTAGGCCACTGACACCTGACCCAATCCCTACAAACTGGATAAACTAAGCTCTAGGGTAATACTATAAGGAGGGGAAAGAGCCCAATCACAGGAACATGTTCAAATCCACAGGGTCCATATTGCAGATATATCAGTGCTGCAAATGTCATACAGATATCCGAGAAGTATACATGCTATGTGATGGAACCTCCAAAATTTATAAACAAAATAAAGTGACTCTGCTCCCTTGAGAAGAATACCTGAGGAAGAAGAATATTTATTTTCAGAAGAATGAAATCTGTGAACTGTTTTAGTTCTGCACTTCTGATGGAGGCTGGGCATTTGCTGCCTGTTTCCCTTCAGTAGCTTCGGTCAGAAAAGACACCATGGAATAACTTTATTCTATTCTATCTGGGCATCATTAATATATAGAACACATTCGCTGCCAACATTAACTTAACTCGATCAACGATCAGTTTCTCTGCGATGCGTGGTCATGTCTGCAGCTTCGTTAGAATTGTTCAAGTTCCTAGTATGCGAAGGTTAATTTTTAAAATGTATTTTTAAAATGAGTGAGAAAATAAGTGCAATAGCTGATGCATAGGTATATGAACTTTCTTCGGAAGCTCGGGGTAAGGGGGGTGGGGGGGGGGGGGCAAATGACTTGGAACACGCTGGAGGGTGAACGGGGTTGG